GCTTAGAACAAAAAGGCAAGCTCGAAAACCAATAAAAACCGTCCAAAGGAGGAGGCAAGCCGAGGGGGAACAGCGAGATCACGCCTCTTCAGGTTTGCCACGCCCTTCATTCTTGCTAGGCCTCACCACCACAGGGAGCAAGTCCGATTGGCTGAGCGACAGATTTGAAAGGGCGGGGCTACATACGTTTCACAGTGGGGAAAGGAGCTAGAGTTGGAGGGAGGGTTGCAGGGCGGCGCCAGATTGTCCTATCTACGGTGGGAAAGGCCAATGATAATCCAGGACACCTCGCCTAGAAAGTCATCTCGAGCCTTTAAATCCTTGTTTCCCGAGGCACCACAAAGGACTAGAACTGCTTGGCTCACCTGTTCTTTTACTCCTTCCTAAAGTCCCGTTTGCCACCATGGAGGTGTACCAAGTGAGACTGTAGGGGAAGCGAGAGGGGACTGATACGCCGGTCTACTAGCTGCTCCTCACCTCGATGCTATTAAAATTCTGACAAGGTCAAAACTGAATAAAAACCCACATCTACATCCCCACTGGCGCCGTTCCGGGGCCAACGCCACATTCCCTGGTGGGCACGCAATGGCCGCACCCCCTTCCGCCGCAGACAGGTCTCATGGTTCAAGCAGTCCGAGGTGAGTCTCCTCCTTCCTCCTTTCCAGCGCGTGCGTGCGCATGCGCGGAGCGCGGCGCGCGTGGCTGTTGGGCCGCTGGTTTTGGGGCCCTGGGATCCGCTGCGTCTCCGCGAGCAGTCCGCTTTGAGTCCCGAGCCGCCGTGAACACCCGGGTTCCAGCGGGCGCTTGCGAGCACGGGGTCATCGCCCGCAGCGGCCAAGTTCATGGCCGGCTGAGCGGGACGCCGCCTCCGCCTCAGCCGCCGCCGCCGCCGCCGCCTCTTCCTCCTCAGCCGGCGGCGGCCCGGGCCCAGCAGCCATGGCCGAAGACTACTGGGACGGGCGCCTGCGGCGAACTGGAGGAAAAGGAGGTCGCGCGGCCTCATCCCGGGCCGCCGCCCCAGGCGCCGCCGCGCCGGCCCCGCGGCTCTGAGGTTACTCGCGCGCCCCCTCCGGTGAGCGTGTCCTCGATACTTAGGGTGGGGGCTGCTCTTTCTTGAGAACCAAACCCAAGCCTAGGCGGTGCCAGGACAACAGTTAGGGGGCTCTGGGCTGCTTAGCTGTCAGGTCCCCCTCCCCCTCGAGTTTCCCAGAATGCACCGGGGGTCATTTGGGGCCTCCCTGACCTTGGCCCCGCCCTGGGCCCCTGTCCTGGCTGTTGAGGATGGGAAATGGTGTGGATGCTAAGGAGGCGAAGGGTGATTAAAGGACTAGAGTTACGGGAATGTATTGATAAAGTAATGTGAAACACCCAAGGTTGTAAAGAGGATAGTAAAACGCCTTAACGACTGTGTACGACTTCAGGCCCACTGAGTGCTTATGGAAAGGGGTTGCAGGCCTATGAAGAACGTGAAGATGTATAACGGGGGTTGCGTGTAAGGGCAGTTCCAGAACATGTTAGTGGAGGTTAGGGTTGCAGAGAAACCTGGTGTAAATGGAAAAATGGTGGTAGGTGTGCCAATAGATTCAGGGTTCTGAGGCCCAGCGTGTGTGTGGTGATGAGGGTCAGAATAGTGTTAATATTGTGTTTGTCCATAGGGTTATGGGTGTGCTCATGAAAGTAGTTGAAGGACTCAAATGTTAAGTGTAAGGATCATAGTGGAAAGGTGTTGTAATAAAGATCTAGGTAGTGTGGAGCCCAGTATATGCAGGCAGAACTGTTGTAGTACCTGAGGGTGTGTGATGGGGCGGGATGGTAGAAGGCCTGTACTACTGGGTACCAGAAGTGTGCATATATGTAGTATGGGAGGGTGGCAGTAAATGAAGTATAAGGAGCTGAGCACAGCAATGCTCAGGGTGAAGTGACAAAAGAGAGAATGTGAGTTTCCAGAAAGTGTGGGGTAATGCTGTGTATGAAGTTCTAGAGTAGTGGTTCTCAACCTGTGGGTCACGACACATTGGGGGGGTCACATCAGATAGCCTGTATATCAGGTATTTACATTATGATCCACAACAGTAGCAGAATTACAGCTTTGAAGTAGCAACAAAAATAATTTGAGGTTGGGGGCCACAACATGAGGAACTCTGTTAAAAGAGTCAAAACAATAGGAAGGTTGAGAACCACTGTTCTAGAGGCTGCTACCATGTGTTTAGAACCAAACAGACACTTAAATGTATACTATTGGAAGAGAGCATGAAGTAAAATATGCTGATGAACATCAGAACACTGTGAATACTATGTTCTTCCTGTCCATGGACCACTGAAGTGTGTTGATTTGGGGAGTGGTACAGGGATAAAGTTTGGGGGATGGGAATATAGTGTGTGGTGGAAGGAATAGAGCTATAAAGGAAATCAATTGTGAATCAAAGGGTTAATAGTGGGAGTGGGGGTTGAAGCAGAGTGGATAGGAGTAAGTGTGCCATTGGAGCCATGAAGGACTGAAGTGTATGTTAATGGGGGTCAGGATTAAGTATGTACTAATGAGGGTCACGTCTGATAGAAAGAGTAGTGTGTTTGTTCCCAGAGAATAGGGCTACATAAGGGTTCAAGGTGTGCTAATAGGAAGTCCGAACTGGGTGAGGCACCGTGTGTTCCAGTAGGGGTCAAGATAGAATGAAGACTCAGGTTGTGCTGAGAGAAGGGACAGTGTAGTGGAAGTACAGGACGAAATGTATGTTAATAATGGTCACAACTGTGACAGTAAGGGCTAAGAGATGGTTCAACTATTAGTATATACTGCTTTTTCAGAGGACCTAAGTTCAGATCCCACCATGCACATGAAGAAGTTCACAACTGAAGGGGCCTGAGTGTGAACAAAACTAGTCAGGGATTGTACAAGGTTCACTATGTACTAATGTGGCTCAGAGCATTGTGAAGGTCCAGGGAATGCTAATTTGGGTCAGCCGTAGAACACCTTGAGTGCATGCTAATGAGGATCAGAATCCAGAGGGGACATTATGTTACTGGGGTAGGACAGTGCTACAGAGAGGCTAACAAGTATCTAGGCTAGGAAGGGACTCAGAATGTGGTGATGACAGGAGTTGCTTAAAGGAGGCAAATATATGCCAACAGAGTTTTGAGGTAAAAAGAGAAATCATGAGTGTTAGTAGGAGTTAAGATGTAGTGAGGACCTTCTTGAGGGTCTAGTGTGTGCTTATAGAGATTAGGCCAGAATGGAATGTGTTGGCATATTGGAGTATATGACAACTGTATGCTCAGTGCTTGGAGTTAGTGTGAGTGTCCTTGATATGAGAGTGGCCTGGGGGGTTGGGGAGGGATTCCACCTTATAGTTGTGGAATTCTACCTCCTGATTCTTTCTTCTTCACTTACTCTGAAGCCTGTAAGCTCAGAAAATTTAAATTATGGTATTTAAGTTTTGCTGCTCATAAATGTTAAAATGTATCTGTTTCTAGGATCTGCCCCTCCCCAAGTGTTGTGTAACTCTGTATTCTTAAAATCACCTAAAAGATGAATTCTGGAAAATGTCCAGTCATTGAGGGTTCCAGTTAGAGGTCATAAATTAATCCATAGCTCCCTCTCTGTCCGTTTTCCTAGCCCCTTACTCTTGTCACCACATACAAAATAACTCAGTATAAGTGTCATGTGGAAACAAAAGGAAGTCTTTGAGAGCTGGCCACTTTCTACACCTTAGATCCAGTGTTCAGCCTCCAAGGTCAGGATTTTATGGTATTCTGGGTTTTTTATGGGTGGATCTTGCCCTTGTTATCTGAGGTTTCTTCTGCTAGGCTGGCTCTGCCTCCCCTTGTAGAGATGATAGGCAGAAGTTGGGATGGGAACTACTAGGGGAAGCACTTTGTTTCAAAGTAACAGATGAACCATTTCTCTTCTTGAATCCATCCCTAGCCTTATCCTCAACCTCCTATCTAGCTGTACTTCCCTTGGGCCCTGGGCCATCTCAAGCCCTGCTGTGAGTACAGATGGTTCCTGAGCCAGGTCTTTCCCCCTCCTTGCTGGGTCAGAGCCCAGGAGGAAGCAAAAGAATGCCGACCTAAACCTTTTGGTGGCCCCATTCCCTCCAGCAGCCCATCTAGGTCATCTTTCTGTCAATTCTAGCATCCCTGGGTGTCTTCTTTGGGGTAGTCTTTAAGTGTCTGGGACTTAACCTCAATAATAAAGGTTGGTCCTACGCTCTCAGCCCTATGAGTGACTGCTTCTGTATGTAGTTTTGGAGTCACTATTTCAGGTTCTTAGGATGTTGCTATGGCTTCAGCATATAAACACTACCCCAGTGGGGCAGATCTTCTAGTTGCGGTGGTGAGAAGACAGATAGTGAAAAGAAACCAATAAGTAGATGGTATTATTTCTAAGGTGGCAATGAGAACTAGGGGACACATTGGAAAGGCAAAGGAGCTCAAGATGGCTGAGACTTTAAATAGGTAGGTTATGGAAGCCTCATGAAAAAGGTGATATTTTTACAATGGACTGGAGAGGATGGAGAAAGAGATGTGTTACAGCCTGTGAAACAACCAGCGTACAGATCCTGAGGTAGGAACTGTTGGGTGTGGTGTAGAACAGCAACTAAAAATGATCAAGGAAGAGGTGAGGCCAGAGAAGTGATAGGGGTGAATGAGGTATATAAGACATATGGGCCACAGTCAAGATGGCTATGTTTATTTGAGATAAGTAAGGTGTGATGTATTCTCTAGGAGAAAAGAAGTATGACTTGGGTTTGGACCCTGTGGATCCTAATCCTATTGAGCCAGTTTAGCAGCTCTGAGGATAGGTGGAGTATGCTGAGACATACCCCCCCACACACACAATTCCATCCAATGGTTCGACCTTGGCAGCCCTCCCCCCCCCCCATCTGGAAGAGAAGTGGGGTGGTCCATTAATCACCATGGCAGTGGTTGCTGGGGGAGGTGAGAGTGTCCCTGTGGGCCACAGGGAGCATTCTGCCTGGCAGTTGGGGGCAATGTGGGGCTGGTGCCAGCGAAACATGCCATTCTATGGACACACCCAGGATTTTGTCACTTGTCCTTCAGTTCTAACTGAACCCCTTGTCCCAACTGTGGCTTCGTCTGTCACTGCTGCTGCACCTGAAGACAGCTGCTGTGGAGTATTGTGCTCCCACAGTGAGACTATTGCCCTAGAGACCAACAATCTACTGAATGGCCCCTTGCCCTCAGCAAGCCACCCAAGTCTTAGTACCCAGGTAGACTACTTAGGGGTGGACTAACAATGACAAACGACCCTATCCATGCCAGATTTCCAAGGATCTGTACTTGTTGAATGGGCACTGACGTATCCTTGGTCATTGTGGTCTTTTAGGGGCCCATGATGATCAAGCAGATGCCAATGTGGACCCCATTTCTATTCATGTCCCCTGTTCAGGTTGCCATGGATCGGATGAAGAAGATCAAACGGCAGCTGTCAATGACACTCCGAGGGGGCAGAGGTATAGACAAGACCAATGGTGCCCCGGAGCAGATAGGCCTGGATGAGAGTAGTGGTGGAGGTGGCAGTGACCTTGGAGAGGTCCCTACCCGTGTTGCCCCTGGGGAGCTTCGCTCTGGAAGGGGCCCACTCAGCTCTGCACCAGGTGGGTCCACTTTGATCAGAATCTCTTCCCGCCCCAGCTACCAAATACTGGCTCCCAGTGCATTCGTTAGACTCTTGTTTTTAGTCTTCATTTTTTTTTTTCATTTTCTTCCCCTTCCCTGTCATCCATTTTTAACACCTCCTTCCTTGACTTTATATCCAGGCTTCAGGGGATGGTACCTTACCTATTATAGCTGCTCCAAGGCTCTCTCTGCTCTTTTCCTGCATTCCTGCACTCTGGTGGCTCTCTTGGTCTCACTGGGTCTGCCTTTCCCTGGGTCTGCCTTCTCAGGGTTCTTGGCAATGCCTGTTAGCGCTAGCCTTCTGACTCATGGGCAACTACCATCTCAACTCATCTGTGATGGAATATTCTATTAGATGACCATGCCCCCTTCATATCTATCCTGGGCCCACCTAGTCTGCTCTAGGGGCCATGTACACACATGGATTAGGGGCAGGAGGGAGTGTTCTTAACTCCAATGTCCTGGCCTTTCCCTCTCCCCACCACCAGAGATTGTGCACGAAGACATGAAGATGGGGTCTGATGGGGAGAGTGACCAGGCTTCAGCCACATCCTCAGATGAAGTGCAGTCTCCAGTGAGAGTACGCATGCGCAACCACCCACCACGCAAGATCTCCACTGAGGTGCTTGATTCCTGTCCCACTGATGGAAGAGTGGAGGATGGGGTTGTATTTGGGGAGGTGGAGCTTTTATGATCATGCTTCTCATTCATCTTGGCTGCTAGGACATCAACAAACGCCTCTCGCTACCAGCTGACATCCGCCTGCCTGAGGGCTATCTTGAGAAGCTGACCCTCAATAGCCCCATTTTTGACAAGCCTCTTAGCCGGCGCCTCCGCCGTGTCAGCCTGGTAAGCATCTCTTTGTCTCCCACCTATCCCACTCTCAGTGCCATTCTCCAGCCCTGCTTCAACATATCTCCTTTATCCCACAGTCTGAGATTGGCTTTGGAAAACTGGAAACCTACATCAAACTTGATAAGCTGGGTGAGGTGAGACAGTCAAAAGGACCATCATGAGGATAGGGGTCAGTACAAACTCCATGCAGTCTCATTGCATCTTTGCTGTTTTACTTCCTCACACTCCAGGGTACCTATGCCACTGTCTACAAAGGCAAAAGCAAGCTCACAGACAACCTTGTGGCACTCAAGGAAATCAGACTGGAACACGAAGAAGGGGCACCTTGCACTGCTATCCGGGAAGGTACAGACCCCATCCTAGACATTCTTGACTCCATGGCGCACACACACTATGATGAGTGAGGACAGAAATTAGGGGTATTTGGGCCTTCTCTCCTCGCCTGTGCAACATTGTGGCTTTCATGAGAATTCCCACTATCTACATACCCAGGTAATAATCAGGGTAACTAGGGCTCTAAATGGATCAAGGAAGATTAATTAATTGCAAATTAAGGTGTTTGCTTTCATTCTTCAAGCACTCTTTAAAGTGTTCAGAAAAATCACATGGAATATTTTGAATTACACAGAAAATGAGTACAAATTCCAGCCTATGTACTTAGGTTTGGATAAGGGCCCTTCCCAGAAAACAAAAGCAGATTGTGAAAAATATAGTGTCACATGAAGTTGGGGCTGTAGTCCCACAATCTTGCTTGATACTCTTGTCTAGGCCTTATTTTCTGCATGTGGACCATTGAGACACACCTACTTCTTAGCATATTGTAAAGCAGAGGTAGATGCTTTGATTACCCTAAACTGCATAGGGAAAGAAGTAAACCTCTAATCTCTTATCTTTATTTTGAGGATGGAGCTCTCACTCTTGATCTATTCTGTTCCATGCTTCTTACAGTGTCCCTGCTCAAGGACCTCAAGCATGCCAATATTGTCACACTACATGACATTATCCACACGGAGAAGTCCCTTACCCTTGTCTTTGAATACTTGGTAAGGTTAGATAGGCCCCAGGGAGGTGGGGAAATGGCCAGAAGCCATAAAATGTGACTCTTGTTCCTGTACTACCTCTTTTGTCCTCAGGACAAGGACCTGAAGCAGTACCTGGATGACTGTGGGAATGTTATCAACATGCACAATGTGAAAGTGGGTGTGGGGCAGAAAGCAGGGTTAGGAGGTGTCCCCACTCATCCACTCGCTGTACAAATCTCCCAGAAATAGCCTCTTACTCTGTGATATTTTTACTGGGAGTTCTTGGAGGGCAATGGGAGCCTGTCATCTCTTGTGTGATAAGACATTGGGCTCAATGTCTGTTTGGGAGGGAGAAGTGCCTTCCTGATGCCAGGGGGATGGGTTAGTGGCTATCTTTTGACTTCTGCCTGTCATTCCTGGATCTGCAGCTGTTCCTGTTCCAGTTGCTCCGTGGCCTGGCCTACTGCCATAGGCAGAAGGTGCTACACCGAGACCTCAAGCCCCAGAATCTACTCATCAACGAGAGGGGAGAGCTCAAGCTGGCTGACTTTGGTACCACCAGTGTCCCCTTTCTTCCCACTGATTCCTCAGCAACTCATTACCCTATGACCACCTAACCTCAGTCCCCTTCAGCCTTTCCAGACTTTGATTTTGGCAGACACTCTTTGTCCCATTTGTATTCTATTCTAAGCTTTGCCCACAGCCTCCTCATTCCAGCTGCTCCCTTTTCTTTGCCTTCCAGGCCTGGCTCGTGCCAAGTCAATCCCTACTAAAACATACTCCAACGAAGTGGTGACACTGTGGTACCGGCCCCCTGACATCTTACTCGGATCCACAGACTACTCTACCCAAATTGACATGTGGTGAGGAGAGGTGGAAGTGTGGAAGGGGCTGGCTGCCCAGCCAACTGTCCCCTTACTCATGGTGCCTTTTCTGCCCAGGGGTGTGGGCTGCATCTTCTATGAGATGGCCACAGGCCGGCCCCTCTTCCCGGGTTCCACGGTGGAAGAACAGCTGCACTTCATCTTCCGCATTTTGGGTGAGGAGGAAGTTTGTGCCTAAGGAGCTGTGGGAACATGCAGGGAGGACCTGAGATGTTTGGGGTAATTTATCTTCTGTACTAGGAACCCCAACTGAGGAGACATGGCCAGGCATTCTATCCAATGAAGAGTTTAGAACATACAACTACCCCAAGTACCGAGCCGAGGCCCTTCTGAGCCATGCACCCCGGTGAGGCTGATGGGTAGATGGGCATTAGGGGCCAGGGTGTCTGAACTCAATGTAAAGTGCATCCCCTTATCTTTGTGTTAGACTTGATAGCGACGGAGCTGACCTCCTCACCAAGCTGCTGCAGGTGAGACCATCTTTGGAAGCCAACCTTAACAGGAGTGGGGTTCTAGGTGTAGGAAATTGGACCACCTCCAAGGGCCAGCTCTGAGGAGGGCAGACTAAGAGGCTTAATATGTTGAAAATACCGTTGTACCAATATACTCTCTTCTGTCTAATTCAGTTTGAGGGTCGCAATCGGATCTCTGCTGAGGATGCCATGAAACATCCATTCTTCCTCAGCCTAGGGGAGCGGATCCACAAACTTCCTGACAGTGAGTGGATATGGGCAATGGATGGCTTAAGTTGGGGCTGTGGAGAGCAGAACCACTGGAATGTAGGGTGCTAGTTGGGCCATCTCTAAGGAGGGAACATCCTCATGCACATATAGCAGGTTGTATCTATTAGGAAAAATATTTGTTTCCATCTTGTATTCCTTTCACTTTTTATGAAAATTCTCATATAGTACATGTAGGTGTAATATCCAAAAAAAAAAAAAAAAAAAAAGAGTGCAGCACAGTTTTTGCCAACTAAACAACCATATAACTTTTAGACAGTTCAAAACCAATGGGAGAAATTCCCCTACAACTTCCTTATACTGTCTTTGGCATTCCAGGCCCCTTTCTAGAATAATAGAACTAGCTGGGGGCTTTGGATTTGGGAGATTCTTTTGAGGCAAGGTTATACTAGGTAGCCTGGCTTGTGGTGATGTGGCTTTTTGAGACAAATATTCCTATAGTATAGACCTTAGGCTTGCTAATGTAGCTTGGGATGACCTTGAGTTCCTCATCTTGTCAGCACCTCCCATTTGCTGAGATTAGTAGGTGCATGTCACCACACCTGGCTTTTTATAAAGATTTTTAAAAACCTAATTTTGGTGGGCTGTTATCTGAGGCAGTCTTAGCCCATTTGGTATATTGCCTGGGCTAGCCTAGAACTTGTGACAATCCTATCTCAGATTCCTAAGGTCTGAGATTACAGGCATGAGCCACTATGCCTGGTTTTAAAAAATCTCAGCACACAGAAGACAGGAATGTAGATTTCTGTAAGTTCAAGGCCAGCCAGGGTTGTAAAGAACATGTCTCAAACAAAACAAAAGTTCATTACACAGAAATGGCTCACCTTTCCTATCTACCCACTGAATTAATAATTAAATCTCAAACCACCACCTTTCATGTAGATTTGTAGGTACTGTTTATATTAGCATTGTCATACTCAATAAACTGAATACTTTTTTGTCTCTTGCAGTGGTCCAGTAGTAATCCTTGTGCCATCTTCGTTAGTATAGGCAGTTAGATAGGAGAAAAGCTTCTCAAAGAAGGGTCAACTTGTTCTAATTCACATAGTGGGGCCATGTGGGGTTTTGTTCGAGATAGACCAACAGTTCATTCCCCACTTAAATGTTTCTTCATCTACAGCTACTTCCATATTTGCACTAAAGGAGGTACAGCTACAAAAGGAGGCCACTATTCGGTCTTCTTCTATGCCTGACTCAGGTAAGTGTGGCCCTCCTCTCTTCTTGCTTCACCCACCTACCTGCTTGCCCACTAACAGCCATTCACTCTGCTTTCCCCTGCAGGCAGGCCAGCTTTCCGTGTGGTGGATACCGAGTTCTAAGCCAAGCTTTAAGCCACAGACCAAGGCCCCAGCAGGCAGCAGCTGGAGGGATGCCATACCCCTCACAGGGCAGTCCCCATCTGTAGTCCTCCCTGTTTGTTGCCTGCCTACCTGCCTGAGCCACACTTTCCTACCATCTTGTCCCCTGCCACCTGCCTAAACACCCAACCACCCAACCACTGGCCTGGCCTGTAAACCCAACCACTGGCCTGTCAACTCAACCATTGGCCTGTCTGCTGGGTGCTAACAAAGCTCTCACCACTACTTTGCTTGATGTGTCTCTGTCTTGGTAGTTGCCGGCGGACAGAATGGCAATGTCAGTCTCCCACACTAAGGCTTGGCCTTCCCCTTTTCATCATGCTCTCCCCCAGGACCACTATCCTGTGGCCAGCCAGAGGATTGGAGCTAGTCCTGGCCATGGTTCTTCATTGACTGGAAAGTGGTGATGCTTTGGGTCTGAGGCATCCTTGAGGTATCCTCAGCCTGCTTTCCCACTTGTTCCACCTGCCTCTGTATGGGCCTTCTTTTTTGTTATTATTTTAAATGAGGTTCTCACTTTTTAATGCAATATCTCTGTATACAGACTGGTTGGGCCCTACTCCGAATGTTGGCCCTCCTACAGTATTTTGTGCAATGAAGTCCCACTCCCAGCCTTTCAGAGACAGGGACCCAGACCCTGTTCAGATCCTGACCATCACTAGACCCTGGGATTGGTTATGGGAAAGCATGCCTCAGCCACCTTCCTCCCCATATAGTGTCCCCAGCTATAGGGGTACCTGAGAACTACCAGAGACTGGGAGATGGACATTTTGGGGGCCTATTTTTCCCTTCAGTCCTGTAGCCGGGGCCTCCTTCCTTCTCAGGGTCTCCCTAGCCCAGCTCTGCCTAGCCCTCCTGTCCTGTCCCACTCGGTGCTGTTGAGTAGGGGCTCTGCCAGGAATTGACCAGCTTAGTGAGGAGCCATATATAGTATGTATATGTGCATAAGCAGGGGGACATGTGGGAGCTTGTGCCCAGTTATATCCCAATCCCTGGGAGGGTAAGGCAGGGTAAGGACAGTCTCCTGGATGGATGGTTTGCTCCCCTTCCTCCACCCTAAGGCTTGGGACCCTTGATTGGGGTGGGAGGGCAAGGGAGGGTGCCCTTCTAGTGGGGGTTTGGGGGGGATCGGGTTCATGAATGCACCATAATCGCTGTATGAAATATTAAAAAAAAAAATCTAAAGTGAAAAGTCTGGTTGTACATCATAAAGGCAAGGGGGCTCATGTTAGGGTGATTAGGTCAACTTGGTGAATTCATACCTGGTCCCATCAACTGAAAGCATTGGGAAAAAGTAGTCTGGAAGTGTGGAACTGTGAAAAAAACATTGGAAGGATTGTACATAGAATGGTGGGATGACGTGAAGCAGTAGGGCAGGCTTAATTATGTCAATGGGAATCAATAATTGATCATGAAGGAATTAGGTTTATCCAGCAGTGTAGATAAGCCTTACAGGATAGAGGTGAAAATTAAAGTTTGAAGAAAGTTGGAAGATCCCATAGATTCACTATGAAGAGGCCAATTGGAGAGTGAAAGGGGTAGCTTTGTTGGTGGTTTTGTTTTGTCTTGGATTTTTGCAACAGGATTTCTTTATATTGTTTTGGAGCCTGTCCTGGAACTCTAAACCAAGCTGGTCTCGAACTCACAGAGATCCGCCTACTTCTGTTTCCTCAGTGCTGGGATTAAAGGTGTGTGCTACCACTGCCTGGCCTGAAAGTAGTAGTTTTTGACCACTGGTTATATGAAGGAATTTTTTAATAGACTTAGAAAAGTTCAAGAGTGGGGTCACGTGCCAGAAGTTTGGACAAGTTTCTGGAAATTCTGGCGGTCATCTGTATGGCAGAGGCAGGTGGTGAAACTCTGTGTGTTTGAAGCCAGGCTGGTCTACAGAGTGAGTTCCAGGACAGCCAGGACTGTTTCACAGATAAACCCTGTCTCAAAACCAGAAAACAAAAAACTGGCAAATTGCAGGTGAGAGGCCCTATCTCACAAAATAAAGTGGAGAGCAATTGAGGATTATACCCTGTGTTGACTTCTGGATTCACATACATCTTTGCTCACACAGCACACAAAAAAGTGGCATAGCCAAGTGAGAGTAGGGCCTTAATATCCTTTGTCCTTGAATACCTACATTCAGACAGTGGTATTGCACACCTTTAAAACCATAATTTGGGAGGCAGAGGCAGGCAGATTTCTAAGTTTTGGGCCAGCCCTGCCTAAAGAAAAAAAAAAAAAAAACCAGTAGGACACATTCCCGTTTCTGTTAGTTTTGTAACCAGGTATTGACAAATTATTCAGCAGACATTCTGTGCCCGTTCTTGAAATTTGTATGAGAAGAGATTGGCCTCTGGAAGGTGAAGAAACTAACTCTAGTGATGGGGAAGAGCAGATGCAGAAAGGCAATGAAAGCCGATTCAGATGGGGTTAAAGATCAACTATCTACATGTGCCAAACTGCATTTCATTTGTGGGGGTGGGGAGCAAGTTAAAGGAGTTCACTCCTTCAGGGCTCATGCAATGAAGTGAGCTCATCTGTGTCAGGTTGGGTTAGAGGATAGAATCACAGTAACAGACACCCCACCACCACTATCAAACTCCCTACAGAAGCTAACTGGAAATAAGAGGTAAGTTAGATCACGCCATGAGTGCAGAGGGTTGAACTGTGCAAGCAGACCTGCATGCACATGGGTCTATGTACGTATGGAAAGGCAAATCTTAAAGTGTGTTCTTGCCTGTGTATACTATTTGTTAATAGTGAAGGCAGTCACTAAACCAGCCCCAAGTTGTGAGGACAGCCAATAGAAAGGTAGGTGGAGATACACGGAGAATTAAAAAGTCATTAACTAGTGCAACTGAGAGCCTAGTAGGATGCTTCTCAACCAGAGACAACTTCCCCTCTAGAGGACATCTGGTAATGTCTTGGAGGTACACAGCTTTTGTTTCTCTGAGGGTTGCCACCACTTTCTAGAAGTAGAGATCTGGGCACAGCTTAATTTCTTATAGTGCTTCCCATAATGAAGAAATTAAAATAGTGTTGAAGTCTGGCATAGAGCCTGGCATACCTGTAACCGTGTGTGTACTTCTAGCATTTGAAAGGCTAAGGCAGGAGGGTCACCATGAGTTCAAGGCCAACCAGAGCTTCATATTCAGAATTGAGACCCTATTACAGAAAAAGACTAAAAAATCCTGGCACATTCAATGGCTCATAAATATTTGACTTCAGATTTCCTTTATATAAGATTGAGGGCACCCAAACAACTTTTGCTTATTCCAAAAGTACCCTCTGGGTAATTTCACTATATATGCATGAAAATGAGAGTGAAGCTACTGGAGAAACAGTTTTGACTTTGTGAAACCCCCAAAAGGGATTCTTGAGTTGATAGCCTGTGACCACAGTTTGAGGATCTGTTTGGTGTTTAAGGTCACAGCTCTGCAGCTAGGCCTGCACTGCTACAGCACATCCTATCTGGGAACAAAAGATTTGACAATTCTGGATCTTAGTTTCCCTCAATTGTTAATCATGGATCAAAAACATAGTACCTGCCACCCAAGGCATTTTTTTTTAAGTTCAAGTCACTTAAACTGGGCAGACTGGCTATTTGTTATGCCCCCAACAAACATGGCTTAGGGGTGACTTCATCAAATTTGTTTGGTAACTCTAGTTGAGGAAGCTGAGTGTTGAACACACTTTGGAGGCTGAGGCAGTTGGATCAAGGCAAATCAGATGCCAGCCTGAGCTCCACAGAGTTGGAGGCAATTTGGGGCAATTTAGCAAAGGTCCTGTCTCAAAAGACAGATAGACACACACACCCTAGTTCAGGCTCTCAGGAGGTGGTAAACTTTTTGTATTTGAGTTAAACAAACAAACAAAAAAATAGAGCCAGGCAGTGGTAGCACAGGCCTTTGATCCCAGCACTCTGTGAGTTTGAGGCCACCCTGGTCTAGAAAGCAAGTTCCAGGACAGCCAGGGATACACAGAGAAACCCTATCTCGAAAAACAAACAACCCCCCCCCCAAAACAAGTATTTTACTTTTTGTGTATGAATGTTTCCCCTGTATGCATGTATGTATACCTTGTGTATTCCTGCTGGTCCCTTGGAACTGGTGTTTTGGATGGTTGTGAGCCATGTGGGTACTGGCAACTGAATCCCCATCTTCTGCAAGAGCAACAAGTACTCTTAACTGCTGAGCCACATCTCTCCAGTCTCTACATTTGGTTTTTGTGGACAAGGTTAGTGCAATGAAAGGTAATTCTAGTTAGGCTAAGAAAAACGGTGCTTTCACAGTAGGGGGCTGCAGTCCTCAACAGAGCAAAGGGCAGGAAAATACACATATTTGCTTATCTGGAAAACCTTTAGCCTCCATCTTCCATAAGACCTTTTGACCTAGTGTTAGAATTCCATAAGGCACTAGTGCCTTAGTACCAAACTGGAGGGTTAACCCCTGGCATTGGTTACACAGATCACAGCCCACCACCCAGTTTCCGCCTAATTGTGACGTTTCCAAGATGGCAGTAGCCCCCTGATTGTTGGGGGGCTCTGCTTCCGTTTCCGGGACAAAATCCGGAAGTGCCAGTTGAGGGTCCTCTTCCTATCTTCAGTTGCGTCGGCAGTTGGAGGAGGACGGACGGTGATGGCGGCGGTCGCAGCGGACCCAGCTGCAGCTGCCATCCCGGCCTCCGCCGAGGAGAAAGAGAGACAGCGCGAGGCAATGCCAGACCTGGACGAGCAGTGGCGCCAAGTCGAGAATGGGCGAGAGCGTCCACTGCGAGCTGGCGAAAGCTGGTGAGGCTGGGCTTCAATGAAGCCTTGGCCAAGGGGACTGCGGGGGCGTTAATATCTGCGGGGTACTTAGAAGCCAAATTCTAAGGAAGAAGAGGTGTGAGGCGGGGAGGGGGCTTGGTGGGCCGGCGGGAGATAGGGGGCGTGGAGGTACTATTGAATGAATCGCAACATTTGGGGAAGAGGCGGGGCCGAGTGGGCAGTCAGCTGCCCGAGGACAAAATGGGGTTTGTTTGTGGCAGTAGCGGGGCGTGAGGGGGACAACCTCGGAGTCTGGGGACTGCATCTTTTGGGGAGGGGGTGAGAGGGGACTGCGTCTGGGAACCTGGAGCCTGGAAAGGAGGCTGGCTCCGTTCTTAACGCGGGGGCGTGGCGTGTGTTACGAAACGTTGCGTCGGTTGCAAGGAACAGCCTACACGTACTTGGAGCGCCTGTGAACCAGACG